CCGAAACTGAAACATCCAAAAGCTGAGATTCTAAAATATTGAAAAACTGGGAAATCGAAAAATTAAAAATTGAAGGAAGAAGAACTGGAAAATCGAAACAGTCGAAAGTCAAGGAATCAATCAAAAAATCCATTACTTGAAAAATCGAAAAATGGAGAAGTTAAAAATTCAAAAATTGAAAAATCGAAAAATTGAAATATTTAAAAATCGTAAAAATGAAGAGGAGAAAAACTGAAAAAACGTCAAACTGAAACTTCGGAAAATTGAAAAATTGAGGAATTGTAAAATCGAAAAATGGAATAATAAATAATCTGAAAAATATCAAAACTGAAATTTCGAAAAATTAAAAAATGAAAGAAAAACTGAAGAATGTAAAAACTGAAAAATTGAGAAATCGACAACCTAAAAAATTGAAAAATTGAAGAATCGAAATATTTAAAAATCGTAGAATCGAAGAGGACAAAAATTCGAAAAACGTAAAATTGAAACATTGGAAAATTGAGAAACCGAAAAACTAAATAACAAATAAACTGAAATGAAAACCCTGAAAAATCCTGTGAAATATCCAAAAACTGCGAATTTAAAAAACTGAAAGATTGAGAAATCGAAAAATCAAAAAGGTGAAAAACTGAAAAATCGAAACAGTCGAAAGTCAAGAAGTGGGAAAATCAAAACATCGATTATTTGAAAAACTGGTAAAAAATTGAGTTTATAAAAGTCAAAAATTGAAAAACCAAAATATTAAAAAATCGTAAAATAGAAAAGGTAAAAAGCTTAAACAACGTAAAACTGAAACGTCGGAAAATTGAGCAATCGAATAACTGAAAATAGAAAAATAGAAAAATTGAGAAACTATAAAATCCAACAATCCGATAGTCATTAATTTTTTTGAGACATCCGACACTCTATATAAGCAAATCTGAAAAATATTAATGCAGTGATAGATAAATCACAAGTAGAGACTCATCATATTGTTAACATTTTTTATAGTATTTATCTGGCAAATTTTTGAGCTGACGTGATCAATTTTTTGGAAAGGACAAGTAAATATATTTAGATTAAAAAATTATTACGCTTTTCATAGCTTTAAAACCTCTGCAACATTTCAAAGCATTCGGTTTCACAGATTCAAAATTAAATTGCTAAATGTTATTTTATAATTTTGATTTTTTTTTCCAAAAATTTGGACGTTTCGAGTAATAATTGAACGCGGAGTCATAAACTACAAGTGTAGGACTATGTTAATTTATACAATTTAAAACCAATTTACTATGTACAATTTTGAAGTGATGCCATCATATTATTGGTAGGGATGTTTAGACAAACTCTGATTTGCGTTTTGGCATCTACACGGATTACAATACTTCCCGAGCGTAAGCGTAAAAAAAAAGATCGCGACCTTAAGATAAAATACGCGTATCAGTAGTGCAAATCTTGGATTTTATCCACAAACTAAAGCCGTTTTACGTTAGCTATCACACTTTGACCAAACCCGATAAAATTCCGTGGAACGTCTCGTTGATTCAGACGAAGGAAGTTTGTACACGCATCATGCAATTTAAAAATAAAATTTGACTTACGTTTTGCGTTCTCCAGTCCCTCTCCCCTTGATAATTGGAGTTGCTCCTGTTGCCAACTCTCCTCTCGAAAAGTCTTCAGTAGCAGTTCCTCCGAAAATTGGTCTCTGGACGTATCTCGACCACCCTTTCATTGGTCTTAGAGGGAGGGATTATCTTCAGATTCATTTCCATTTCTAGAATAAATAAAATATAAAGACCTTGTTGTTTGTAAGTGCAAATTTGGGAAATTTACACTTGTTTAACCTTACCTTGTTTGTACGGCTTGTGGCTAGCCAGACACGTGTGTGGTTAAAACTCTTGTAGTACGGGCATTTTTTGCGTTGTTTTTAGGATTCTTGTAAAAAATTATCTCTCGACAACCCAAAAGAAGTGCGATAAATTTTATTACTCCTGAAGTTTTTGCAGCATTGAAGATAAATCAAACAAAATGTATACATATCCATGGTTTTCAATTTTACATTAGAAGGAATACGATAAGGTCTGATAAACTCGTCAACAATCGTTAACTATTTGTGCCTTTTGAAAATAAAAATTTAACCTATTTTTCCAGATTTAGCGTGAACTGATTTTGACGAATATTATTCAGAGTACGAAAATAATTGTTTTATAGAATCGATTAGTTATAAAAATAATGTCTGGATAATCGGAATTTAGAGATAAAACATTCCAATAAAATGTTCATTCTATCTACACAATAATTATATTCTGATAAGTTTTGGCGTGGCAGTTAGTTCGGAAGATATTTCCAATTAATAGGATAAAGTTCATTAAGTTGTGGACATTATCTTGAATGATAAAGATAAAATCACACCTATTCAGTTCAAACATTTACTTAGTTTTTCTAAAAAAGTCATTTTACAAAAATCGTAACTAGACGAAACACTTTTCTAAAAAATGCGACCCGTTTTCTTTTAATTCCAAAATAATTAAGTTCTTATTGGAAGACAAGAGACTTTACTAAATCTTATTTTATTTACTAACGATCTTCTGTTATCTAGAGGAGTTTAAAGCTATCCTTCCAATTTGTGGGTGTGTCGACTCGACAGTTTTACTGTTACCTGGAAAGTACTTAGACCAAGCCACCAAATTACATTAACGCGGCCATTAACTTTATGACATTAGTGTATTTCAGTACTCATTTCTATTGTTTGGCTATGACCACCTAACCATCCCAAAAACCCAGGATTACTAACTACCTGCTGGTATTGTGGCCGTCAAATTAGACCGAATTCTGCCTGGGGCCCGGTCGTGCTCTCACTCATTGAAGTGATTAGGATGGTTGTAATTTTTATCACTCTCCATTGTTTGGGCACAGCTTATTTCTTATTTAAATACCAACTGCCCAAATTTATGGCATCTATAAGCTGTGGTTAGGGGTTTATTGAGCACTTGAGGTGTGCAGCTTATTGTGACATCTACTATACCTACTGTAATCAGTGCTTTGACTTGCCGTTTCAAGTAAAATGCTAATTTTATAAAGTATTTTCAATTTTACGACTTTCTCCACTCGACTCGAAGTGAAAATATGTTAATACCGAAAATATTAATTATTGTTCAAGGGCGAAAATTTTTCGGTTTTTCAGTTTTTCGATTTTCAGTGTTTCGATTTGCGGTTTATCGAAATTTGATTGATTCTGTTTTTCGATTGTTCGATTTTTCAAGATTTCGCCTTTTCGGATTTTCAGTTTTTCGATTTTTTGTGGTTTATGTATCCGTGGCGAGTTTTTACCTTATGCTCCAGATTTTTAGAAAAAAATCAGAATGTGCAACATTTTACAAGTTAACTTTGAAGTTGCAAAGTCGAATGTTTTGAAATCTTGGAAACGTTTTAAGGTTATCGGAAGCCGGTAAATCGTTAACTTGATGATGTTATCTTACAATTTTGTCGAATGAACGTTATTTAAATGTTAAAAAGTAACATAGTCCTGAACTTGTGATTTATGATTGCTGACATCAAGATTTTTGGAAAAAATAAATCAAAATTGTAGATATACGTATATAAAAATTTTTCGATTTCTTAATTCTTCTAATTTCCGATTTCTTGATTTTTCGATATTTAAGTTTTAAGATTATTCAGTTTTTTTGTTTTTCAGTTTTTCTTAGATATTTTTCAATTTTTTAAGTTTTTGGTTTTTCGACTTTTCGATTTCTCGATTTTCCAATTTTTCGTTGTTTCAGTTTTGGGACTTTTCTATTTTTCTTCGATTTTTTGATTTTGTTTTAGTTTAAAATTTTTCCGTTTTTATTATTTTCTTTTTGGTGTCGCGATCTTTTGATGTTTCGTTTCTCGATGTTTCAGTTTTTCAATTTTTCGATGTTTCGACTTCCCTATTTTTCGAGTTTTCGACTTTTCGGCTTTTCAATTTTTCGATTTTCCAATTTTTAGATGTTCCGATTTTTCATTTCTCCCATTTCCCAATTTTCCGTCATTTGAGATTGGAATTTTTCAGTTTTTCGATTTTTCAGTTAATCGATTATTCTCCAAATTTCAAATTTTGCACTTTTTCGATTTTTTTTAATTTCGGATTTTTCGCTTTCCCGGTCTTTAGATTATTCGGCTTTCCGATTTTGATTTTTCGATTTTTAAATTTTAGATTTTTTGGTTTTTCAGCGTTCAATTTTTCCAATTCTCTATTTTTTACTTTTTCAATTTTTAAATTTTAGATTTTTGATTTCTTGATTCTTCAGTTCGTTGATATTTCAATTTTTCGAATTTTTAAACTTTGGACTTTAGATTTTTAATGTTTTGATTTTCCGATTTTTCGTTTTTTCGATTTTTGAAATTTCAGATTCTTTGATTATTCGGCTTTTCGATTTTTAATTCCTGCATTTTTCAATTTTTCGTATTTTCATTTTTCAGATTTTTAATGTTTCGATTGTTCCCTCAAAACACTAATATGCTCAAATCCACAGAACACAAAAATTCTCAAATCCTTAGAACATCCAAACATTGACATTCTTAGAACACTTAAATCCTCATGTCCTCAAAACACTAAAATCCCCAAATCCTCAAAACACCAAAATCACCAAACCTTCAAAACACCAAAGTATGACAAATATCATAAATAGCCAACAGGACGGGAGAAAAGGATTTTTGTCAGGATATAGGAATTCGTGGCGGGGTGGAGTGAATAAAATTCTGTAGTTTACTTAGAAAAATGTATAAAAATGTAAAAAACTAAAACTAACACAAGTATTTACAATTAAAAAGCACTCACACAATTATTTACAAAAAAAAAACTTATTCATATAATATTTACAATTAAAACGTAGTTACACAAGTATTTACAATTAAATCACAGTCATTATTTTGTATTAACACTATAATACAACCTACGCATCACCGATGTTTGCGGATTACAAAGAACTACCATATGGGCGTGGACCTCAAGCAGCACTTTCTGAATTAGGAAAGCATGTTCAGGACCCCATCGTGCTCCACAGCTTGACTTTAGCGAGGTCCAGGGATGTGCGGGCGTCCTCGCAGCTACTGTGCCCTCTTCCTTCCTGAACATGCCTTTCTAATTCGAAAACGGCGAAACGGTAGTCCTTTATAATGCGCAAACATCAGGGATGTATCGATCACCGTTCAATGTGTCGTAGACAACAATCCCATTGAAGCCGACGACGCTAACCCTAGCAATTTCTAGCCCTGCGACTTCCTGGCGTTCCTGAGATCCTTCTCGGTCACCCCAGAAAATTGGGTATTGAAGTCTACGACACTGTGAGCAGGTCTCACGAATGTGTCGTAGACAACAACCCCATCGAAGCCGACGACGCTAACCCTCGCAACTTCTAGCCCTGCGACTGTGTAACACATCTCGCAGTCCAGGGCGTAGATGTTGCGGTCGGGGTACGTCGACTTCCTGGTGGTGACGAACGACGTGAAGGGACCGTTGACGCCGCGTTCCACGCCACTCCAGACGTGGACTCGGAATGTGGTGCGGCCCATCGAGCCGGGGACGAGGCCACAGCAGGTGTATTGGGCTGCATATATCTTACCATAATGATATATGCAGCCCTCCTCAGTTATGTAGTTTTCTTGGGTGGTGAAGAAGGGGCGGTCGCACCTAGTGCACAGGCGCTTCGAGCCGGGAGCGCTGTCGTCGGGCGTCGGGTTCTCCTTGACCCATGGGTTGTCCAATAAAAAATACACTTTTTTCCCCATGGAGCAAGGGAACCCGCATTTAAATTGCTGTACCTTGGGGAGCGCGTACGGTTGCAGCAAGTTGGTGAAGCTGAAGACCCTCTTTGATAGGTCGTAGTCGCACGGGGTGAGGGCTGAAAAACAAATATAAATGATACATACTGAATTAATATTAAATCCGACTTAAACAATTAACACGGCTCCGAATGCAATGGAAGAAGCGTCCGTTTTTAAAATAAAATTCCAACTAAATTGCACCTTTTTTTTGCTTAATCTGGTTATTGGCGCTGCTATGTTACCAAAATTTTGTACAGTAAAGTTTTTTGTAAAGTTTTTTCTCTTCCCTATTTTAAGCTCCACCCACCGGTCCCACGACGAATAAAAAAATTCATCACAATTGAGATGGAGCGGGTGGGCGGGGCTTATCCATTTCAAGAATAAAATAGTTAAAATATCAAGTAGTGACCTTGAGGTTAGAATTATGTTTTAAGTATTATGTTGTTGAAAGTAAACTCTATACATTGAGAAAAAGAAATTAATGATTAAGCCCCACCCACCCGCCCCTGTCTAAATTGTGGTGAATTTTTCATTTATTGTCACTTCAAAGGGCGGAGCTTAATTACAAAATCCACATTTCTTTAGAAAAATTCATTAATTGCGTTTCATACTAGCAAAACGTCTTAATTTAACAATTTTGTTGAAATCGTAAGAATCCAATGAATTTTTTTTCGGGGAAATGTAGTTATTTTTGTGTTTTGGAAACGTGGTTTTCTACTTTGTATGGATTTTTAAATTGTTGTATTTATTTTCGATACATTGTATGATATTAACACTGAGAAAAAAAATGACAAATTGAAATAATAGAAAATTTGGAAATCGAAAACTTAAAACCGGAAAATTGAAAAATAGAAATATCGAAGAACTGAAAAATTGAAACATCAAACAATTGAAAAAATGAAAATCTAAAAACGAAAACTCGACTTTTTAGTGACTCTATTATTTGGATTTTCCGATTTTTTGAATTCTCGCTTTTTCGACTTTTCGGCGTTTCAGTTATTAGATTTTTCGATTTTTTAGTTCTTCAGTTCTTTGTCATTTCAATTTATCATGGATTTTTTAGTTTTTTGACTCCTCAATTTTCCAATTTTTCAAATTTTTGATTTTTAAATTTTGAATTTTTCGATTTCTCAGTTTTTTACTTTTTCGAATTCTGGATTTTGTGCTTTTTCGATTTTTTTGGTTTTTCAATGTCTCGACTTTTCAATTTTTCAAGTCTTCAATTTTGTTTATATTTTAATTTTTCATTTTTTTTTATTTTAAATTTTTCGATTTTTCGACTTCACAGCTTTTGATTTTCCCGTTTTCCATTTTTTCAATTTTTCAATTTTTCGCTTCCTCTATTTATCGATTTTTTTTAGTTTTCAATTTTCAGTTTTTTAATTTTTAACTTTTGGATTTTTCGACTTTGGGGTATGTCTGTTTTTCGATATTTTTCGACTTTTCGAATTTTCAATTTGTGGATTTCTCGACGTGAAATATTGGGAAATCGAAATATGAAAGGTCGAGAAATCGAAAACTCATGAAGTCGAAAAATCGAGAAGTCAAAAATCGAAAAGTCAGTTTCAATTTTTCAATTAAAATATTGAAAAATCCCGAAACTGAAATATCAAAAAACTGAAAAATGAAAGAAAAACTGAATAACGGAAAAACAGAAAAATTCCGAAACTGAAACATCCAAAAGCTGAGATTCTAAAATATTGAAAAACTGGGAAATCGAAAAATTAAAAATTGAAGGATGAAGAACTGGAAAATCGAAACAGTCGAAAGTCAAGGAATCAATCAAAAAATCCATTACTTGAAAAATCGAAAAATGGAGAAGTTAAAAATTCAAAAAATTGAAAAATCTAAAAATCGAGTTATTTAAAAATCGTAAAATTGAAAAGGAGAAAAACTGAAAAAACGTCAAATTGAAACATCGGAAAATTGAAAAATTAAGGAATTGTAAAATGAAAAAATTGAATAATGAATAATCTGAAAAATATCAAAACTGAAATTTCGAAAAATTAAAAAATGAAAAAGACTGAAGAATATAAAAACTGAAAAATCTCAAAACTGAAATATCCAAAAACTGAGAAATTAAAAAATTGAAAAATTGAGAAATTCACAACGTAAAAAATTGAAAAATTGAAGAATCGAAATATTTAAAAATCGTAGAATTGAAGAGGACAAAAATTCGAAAAACGTAAAATTGAAACATTGGAAAATTGAGAAATCGAAAAATTGAATAACAAATACACTGAAATTTCGAAAAATTGAAAATTGAAAAGAAAACACTGAAAAATCCAGTGAAATATCCAAAAACTGCGAATTTAAAAAATTGAAAAATTGAGAAATCGAAAAATCAAAAAAGTGAAAAACTGAAAAATCGAAACAGTCGAAAGTCAAGTAGTGCGAAAATCAGTACATCGATTATTTGAAAAATTGGTAAGAAAATGAGTTTATAAAAGTCAAAAATTGAAAAACCAAAATATTTAAAAATCGTAAAATAGAAAAAGTGAAAAGCTTAAACAACGTAAAACTGAAACGTCGGAAAATTGAGAAATCGGGAAAGTGAAAATAGAGAAATTGAAAAATTGAGAAACTATAAAATCCAACAATCCGTTTAGGATGTGTATCAGATCACGGAACATAACTTATAGATCAAACAAGTTCTCAGGCGACGAATTAGTCATTAATTTTTTTGAGACACCCGACACTATATAAGCAAATCAAAAAAATATTAATGCAGTGATAGATAAATCACAAGTACAGACTCATCATATTTTTGACATTTTTTATAGTTTTTATTATTTACTATTTATTCGGCAAAACTTTGAGCTGACGTGATCAATTTTTTGGAAAGGACAAACAAATATATTTAGATTAAAAAATTATTATGCTTCTCGTAACTTCAAAACATCTGAAAGATTTCAAAGCACTCGGTTTCGTAGATTCAAAGTTAAATTGCAAAATGTTACTTTATACTTTTGACTTTTTTTCCAAAAATATCGACGTTTCGGGTAATAACTGAACGCGGAATGATAAATTACAAGTGTAAGACTATGTTATTTTATACATTTTAAAACCAATTTACTATGTTCAATTTTAAAGCGACGTCATCACCTTATTGGTAGGGACGATTAGACAAATTTTGGTTTGCGTTTTACCATCTACACGGATTAATACTTCTCGAGCGTAAGCGTAAGTAAAAAGATCGCGACCTTAAGATAAAATACGCTTATCAGTAGTGCAAATCTAGGATTTTATCCACAAACTAAAGTCGCATTACGTTAGCTATCACACTTTGACCAAACCCGATAAAATTCCGTGGAACGTCGCGTTGATTCAGACGAAGGGAGTTGGCACTCATCGAAATTACCCATCATGCAATTTAAAAATAAAATTTGACTTACGTTTTTTCTTCTTCAGTTTCTCCCGCTGTTGGTCTTCCTTCTGGAAAATCGACAAGAGGCGATCTTTTGAAGACTCTTCTTTGGCAACACGTTTAAGGGCAGCCATGGCGAAACAGACTAAAAATTATTTATTATTATATTATAGGGGTTATTTTCAGATTCATTTTCATTTCTAGAATAAACAAAATTTAAAGACCTTGTTGTTGTAAGCAGATTTGGGAAATTTACATTTTTTTGACCTTACCTTATTTGTACGGCTTGTGCCTAGCGAGACCCATGTGTGGTTAAAACTCTTGTAGTATGGGCATTTTTTGCGTTGTTTGTAGCATTCTTGTAAAAATTACCTCTCGACAACCCAAAAGAAGTGCGATAAATTTTATTACTCCTGAAGTTTTTGCAGCATTGAAAATAAATCAAACAAAATGTATACATATCCATGGTTTTCAATTTTGCATCAGAAGGAATATGATAAAGTCTGATAAACTCGTCAACAATCGTTAACTATTTGTGCCTTTTGAAAATAAAAAATTAACCTATTTTTCCAGATTTAGCGTGAACTGATTTTGACGAATGTTATTCAGAGCACGCAAATAATTTTTTTATAGAATCGATTAGTAATAAAAATAATGTCTGGATAATCGGAATTTAGAGATAAAACACTCGATTAAAGTGTTCGTTCTACCTATACAATAATCATATTCTGATAAGTTTTGGCGTGGCAGTTAGTTCGGGAGATATTTCCAATTAATAGAATAAAGTTCATTAAGATGTGGACATTATCTTGAATGATAAAGATAAAATCACACCTATTCAGGTCAAACATTTACTTAGTTTTTCTAAAAAATCACTTTCCAAAAATCGTAACTAGACGAAACACTTTTCTAAAAAATGCGACCCGTTTTCTTTTAATTCCAAAGTAATTAAGTTCTTATTGGAAGACAAGAGACTTTACTAAATCTTATTTTATTTACTAACGATCTTCTGTTATCTAGAGGGGTTTAAAGCTATCCTTCCAATTTGTGGGTGTGTCGACTCGACAGTTTTACTGTTACCTGGAAAGTACTTAGACCAAGCCACCAAATTACATTAACGCGGCCATTAACTTTATGACATTAGTGTATTTCAGTACTCATTTCTATTGTTTGGCTATGACCACCTAACCATCCCAAAAACCCAGGATTACTAACTACCTGCTGGTATTGTGGCCGTCAAATTAGACCGAATTCTGCCTGGGGCCCGGTCGTGCTGTCACTCATTGTAGTGATTAGGATGGTTGTAATTTTTATCACTCTGCACTGTTTGGGCACAGCTTATTTCTTATTTAAATACCAACTGCCCAAATTTATGGCATCTATAAGCCGTGGTTAGGGGTTTATTGAGCGCTTGAGATGTGCAGCTTATTGTGACATCTACTATACCTACTGTAATCAGTGCTTTGACTTGCCGTTTCAAGTAAAATGCTAATTTTATAAAGTATTTTCAATTTTACGACTTTCTCCACTCGACCCGAAGTGAAAATATGTAAATGCCGAAAATATTAATTATTGTTCAAGGGCGAAAATTTTTCGGTTTTTCAGTTTTTCGATTTTCAGTGTTTCGATTTGCGGTTTATCGAGATTTGATTGATTGTGTTTTTCGGTTGTTCGATTTTTCAAGATTTCGCCTTTTCGGATTTTCAGTTTTTCGATTTTTGTGATTTATGTATCCGTGTCGAGTTTTTACCTTATGCTCCAGATTTAAAAAAAAAAATCAGAATGTGCAACATTTTACAAGTTAACTTTGAAGTTGCAAAGTCGAATGTTTTGAAATCTTGGAAACGTTTTAATGTTATCGGAAGCTGGTAAATCGTTAACTTGATGATGTTATCTTACAATTTTGTCGAATGAACGTTATTTAAATGTTAAAAAGTAACATAGTCCTGAACTTGTGGTTTATGATTCCTGACATCAGGATTTTTGGAAAAAATAAATCAAAATTGTAGATATATGTATATAAAAATTTTTCAATTTCTCAATTCTTCTAATTTCCGATTTCTTGATTTTTCGTTATTTAAGTTTTAAGATTATTCAGTTTTCTTGTTTTTCAGTTATTTACGTTTCTAAGTTCTGGATTTTTCGACTTCTCAATGTCTTGATTAATCGATTTTTTGATTTTTCGACTTTCCGATACTCAAATTCTCGATTTCTTGATTTTTCAGGTTTTTAGTTGTTCAATTTTCCAATTTTTTGATTTTTCAATTTTTCGATGTTTCAGTTTTGGGATTTTTCAGTTTTTCTTAGATATTTTTCAATTTTTTAAGTTTTTGGTTTTTCGACTTTTCGATTTCTCGATTTTCCAATTTTTCGTTGTTTCAGTTTTGGGACTTTTCTATTTTTCTTCGATTTTTTGATTTTGTTTTAGTTTAACATTTTTCCGTTTTTATTATTTTACTTTTTGGTGTCGCGATCTTTTGATGTTTCGTTCCTCGATATTTCAGCTTTTCAATTTTTCGATGTTTCGACTTCCCTATTTTTTGAGTTTTCGACTTTTTGGCTTTTCAATTTTTCGATTTTCCAATTTTTAATTGTTCCGATTTTTCATTTCTCCCATTTCCCAATTTGCCGTCATTTGAGATTGGAATTTTTCAGTTTTTCGATTTTTCAGTTAATCAATTATTCTCCAAATTTCAAATTTTTCATTTTTTCGATTTATTTTAATTTCGGATTTTCCGCTTTCCCGGTCTTTAGATTATTCGGCTTTCCGATTTTGATTTTTCGATTTTTAAATTTTAGATTTTTTGTTTTTTCAGCGTTCAATTTTTCCAATTCTCTATTTTTTACTTTTTCGATTTTTAAATTTTAGATTTTTGATTTCTTGATTCTTCAGTTCGTTGATATTTCAATTTTTCGAATTTTTAAACTTTAGATTTTAGATTTTTAATGTTTTGATTTTCCGATTTTTCGTTTTTTCGATTTTTGAAATTTCAGATTTTTCGATTATTCGGCTTTTCGATTTTAAATTCCTGCATTTTTCAATTTTTCGTATTTTCATTTTTCAATTTTTTAATGTATCGACTGTTTCCTCATAACACTAATATGCTCAAATCCACAGAACACCAAAATCCTCAAATCCTCAGAACATCAAAACCTTGACATTCTCAGAACACTTAAATCTTCATATCCTCAAAACACTAAAATCCCCAAATCTTCAAAACACCAAAATCACCAAACCTTCAAAACACCAAATTATGACAAATACCATAAATAGGCAACAGGACGGGAGGAAAGGATTTTCGTGAGGATATAGGAAATCGTGGCGGGATGGAGTGAATAAAATTCTGTAGTTTACTTAGAAAAATGTATAAAAATGTAAAAAACTAAAACTAACACAAGTATTTACAATTAAAAAGCACTCACACAATTGTTTACAAAAAAAACTTATTCATATAATATTTACAATTAAAACATAGTTACACAAGTATTTACAATTAAATCACAGTCATTATTATGTATTTACAATATAATACAACCTACGCATCACTGATGTTTCCGCATTACAAAGAACTACCATATGGGCGTGGTCCTCAAGCAGCCCTTTCTGAATTAGGAAAGCATGTTCAGGACCCCATCAGCTGCTGTGCCCTCTTCCTTCCTGGACATGCCTTCCTAATTCGGTAAGGGCCAGCTCCTTCAGCCCTTTATAATGGGCAAACATCAGGGATGTATCGATCACCGTTCAATGTGTCGTAGACAACAATCCCATTGAAGCCGACGACGCTAACCCTAGCAACTTCTAGCCCTGCGACTTCCTGGTGGTGACGAACGACGTGAAGGGACCGTTGACGCTGCGTTCCACGCCACTCCAGACGTGGACTCGGCATGTGGTGCGGCTCATCGAGCCAGGGACGCGGCCACAGCAGGTGTATTGGGCTGCATATATCTTACCATAATGATATATGCAGCCCTCCTCAGTTATGTAGTTTTCCTGGGTAGTGAAGAAGGGGCGGTCGCACCTAGTGCACAGGCGCTTCGAGCCGGGAGCGCTGTCGTCGGGCGTCGGGTTCTCCTTCACCCATGGGTTGTCCGATAAAAAAAACACTTTTTTCCCCATGGAGCAAGGGAACCCGCATTTAAATTGCTGTACCTTGGTGAGCGCGTACGGCTGCAGCAGTTCGGTGAAGCTGAAGACCCTCTGTGATAAGTCGTAGTCGCACGGGGTGAGGGCTGAAAAATAAATATAAGTGATACATACTGAATTAATATTAAATCCGACTTAAACAATTAACACGGCTCCGAATGCAATGGAAGAAGCGTCAATTTTTAAAATAAAATTCCAACTAAATTGCACTTTTTTTTTGCTTAATCTGGTTATTGGCGCTGCTATGTTACCAAAATTTTGTACAGTAAAGTTATATTTTTGTAAAGTTTTTTCTCTTCCCTATTTTAAGCTCCACCCACCGGTCCCACGACGAATAAAAAATTCATCAAAATTGAGATGGAGCGGGTGGGCGGGGCTTATCCATTTCAAGAATAAAATAGTCAAAATATCAAGTAGTGACTTTGAGGTTATAATTATGTTTTAAGTATTATGTTGTTGAAAGTAAACTCTATACATTAAGAAAAAGAAACTAATGATTAAGCCCCACCCACCCGCCTCTGTCTCAATTGTGATGAATTTTTCATTTATTGTCACTCAAAAGGGCGGAGCTTAATTACAAAATCCACATTTCTTTAGAAAAATTCATTAATTGTGTTTTATACTCGCAAAACGTCTTAATTTAACAAATTTGTTGAAATCGTAGTAATCCAATGAATTTTTTTTCGGGGAAATGTAGTTATTTTTGTGTTTTGGAAACGTGGTTTTCTACTTTGTATGCATTTTTAAATTGTTGTATTTATTTTCGATACATTGTATGATATTAACACTGAGAAAAAAAATGACAAATTGAAATAATAGAAAATTTGGAAATCGAAAACTTAAAACCGGAAAATTGAAAAATAGAAATATCGAAGAACTGAAAAATTGAAACATCAAACAATTGAAAAAATGAAAATCTAAAAACGAAAACTCGACTTTTTAGTGACTCTATTATTTGGATTTTCCGATTTTTTGAATTCTCGCTTTTTCGACTTTTCGGCGTTTCAGTTATTAGATTTTTCGATTTTTTAGTTCTTCAGTTCTTTGTCATTTCAATTTATCATGGATTTTTTAGTTTTTTGACTCCTCAATTTTCCAATTTTTCAAATTTTTGATTTTTAAATTTTGAATTTTTCGATTTCTCAGTTTTTTACTTTTTCGAATTCTGGATTTTGTGCTTTTTCGATTTTTTTGGTTTTTCAATGTCTCGACTTTTCAATTTTTCAAGTCTTCAATTTTCTTTATATTTTAATTTTTAATTTTTTTTAATTTTTAATTTTTCGATT